GATGCCTACAACATGCGCTATATTAGTTGGAATATTGATGCATTCGATGCAATCGAAGTAAACCCAGAGAAGTCACAGGCAGTCATGTTTCAATAAAAATTTGGAACTTCAGACCGTCAAGTAATGATGTTTAACATAGATAGTCTGATTCAATCAGGAAAAACATACATATAGGAGTGTTATGGCATATACACCATATGTCAACAGCGCTGTCACTAAGAGCAAGATGATAAGGAGTACGCTGAGATCTCTTTTTGAAAGAAATATAATGATTAAGCCTGGAAACGAAGTTAAGAATGGTAAATAGCATCATCATGCCAGCCATAACATATCAGTAGCTTGGGTCTAAACATGTAAAAGTCAACAAAAAGAAGATTCAAATAGTCCAGGGAATATAATATGGATTATTAGGAAGCCGGTGAACATAATACACCCTACAAACGTATCCGAAAGGTTCATATATAGAGAAGCCAAAGAGGTAAGGATCTTAGATAAAATAAATGAAATAAAGTATGAAATCTTCAGCGAACTAAGAAACATCATTTAATCGACTTGTTTTAAGTTTTAAATTATCCAAAAGAGGACATGAATTTGTTGCACAGGTACCCCAGTTAAAGCTACCGTAATTCCTGAACATTGAGGTCGTGCATCGTAAGGCACCAGCTTGGTTGTCTGACCCTCCGGCTGGTGAGGTAAACAAACGTCGTTTGCCAAGTTAGCAGCTAATCGTCCGACACACAAATTCCCAATGCAGAGAGCCAGTGACCAAGGCCAAAAACCAAAGTCAGTTACACAATTGGAGAAGAGACAATTCTAGAGGTTTCACAAACAGAAGGAAAAACCAGGATGAAAGGCATACTCATAACTTGGATAGAGCATCCAAGATCAAAAACAATTAAAACGTTATATCTGCGATTAGTGGTGGAGTGAAGGTAGCTTCCAGACCGAGCAATCTCTCTGATCTTCGGACATCATTGTCATCATCATTATCAACCTATACATATCCACTGCTAGATATAAGGTCTTCCTCAGCTCTTTCCACCTGTCTTTGTCTTGTGCGGCTTGAGTCCAGTTACTGCTAACACGCTTTAAGTCGCCAATCCATCGGGTTGATGAGCGTTCTCTGCTCCTTATTGATATTGTTATGGTCTCCACTTGTCACTACGTTTTGTCAATAAAAAATGTGGTATTCAGGCGACGTGTCATACCCAATCCCATGTTAGCGATGAGATTTTTATAGCATCTGTTTTTTTGTTCTATGACGTATTTCTTCGTTTGGCATTCGGTCTCTCAGAGAGATACCCAACATCTGGCACTTCTTAGCCCTCTAAGACACACAAATCTTGTTTACTACCTTTTTTTGTGAGTTTTAATGTTTAACCTCTATAACTTAGTATGGGTAACACACACTGGTCCAAAAGTCCAAAAAATCCTTTTGAGGTTTAGCGTTTTGAGGAGTTACCAAACGCTGCTCAGACTAATCCTATACGACGTGAAAGCTCACATGTCTAGCTATCGCTGTTCAATTAAATTTCATGTCCTAAGTACTTATACAATGCAGTTTGCACAATATTCCTTCCATCAACAGCAATATTTCTTTTTAGCACTAGGTTAGTCGTTATTTACGTCTTGTTTATGTTAATTTTCAGTCCGACCCCCAAGGAAGTGTGATCATCATCTTCTGAAATCATCCATACAATCAGCTATAAGGAAGATGTCGTCTGCCAATCACAAATGAGTAAGCTTTCGTCTATTTATGTTGATACCATACTTGTTCAGATATGCCTTCTTACAAGGAGGTTCTAAAAGCGTCGTGAATAGCTTTGTAGAGACGGTGTTTCCTTGCCGTACTCTTCGATGTATATAGAATTTATCTCTTTCTTTTTTAGACAGTCTTACACTACCTGTGGCATTTTGGTAGATATATTTGCTTATGTTAATGTAGCTATGGTCTATTCGACATTCTGTTAATGCTTTTATCAGTGCAATATCAGTGCCAATGATTTGTTTTATTCTGGAGGCTTCTTTATCAGGTTCTTTATCACTAGTAAGTAGTCGTTAGTGCTGTATTCTAATCTAAATCCAGCTTGTTCTCTAGGCTGATAGAAATTATATATATTTGTGATAGCAAACTGATAGGACGATAGTTTTTTAGATCTGTTATGTCTTTTTTCTTATGTAATAAAACATTGACTGCACTGTTCCATTGAAAAGATGCAATCGGTGAAAAGTTTTGCCAAAGCCTGGATAATATTATTTCCACCTAGTTTAATCGCCTCGATCACTATTCCATCATCGATAGGGGATTTGTTATTTTTCATTTTTTAAAAGTGTCGTTTTGACTTCATATGGTGTTCTTGTATTAATTTCTAATAGTAGATTTGTGATTTTGGGTATCAAAATTTTAGGGGCCCATCTTGTCTCTCGTTATTTCGGTTATATCCCTAGTATTGTATCTTATTTTGTACATATTTTTGTTGCCTACGTTGTACGTATTTTGACTCAAAACATTTAAACTTTTGTTTTCTTGTTTTATTTTAGTTATTTTAATTATTTTAGTCTTTTGAGATAAGAACATCTTAAACCGGAAATCTCATGTCCCCTATAGATTGGATTTACTTTGTTGTATGTGTCTGTATTTATTTCAAGAAATGCGTGGAAAACAGCTTGTCTTATGTAGTTAAATTGGTCCTTCACGCCGATTTTTGTCAAAATATTGTTCATATATATTTTTTAAATAGACATTCTTTGGAAATCTTGTAATGGATACTATATGATCTAATACTTATATTATTATGTGAAAAACTATAAAACTTTCTATTAATTGATTAAAAACCTAACGTATAAAAAGAACTATTAAAATATCAGTTAATTTAATTTGAGAGAAAATCGAAATTATTCACCTAGTAATGCAGGCTATACTTTTTTATATTTGATTTAGACTCGTTTCATATTCAATAAAATAAAAGAAATGACTGAAACTTTTGTTGCGTGAATACTACTTATATGCGAACTTAGCATACTTACCTCCAAAGTCTATGAAAATAAAGAGAAAGAATTGGAAGGGCTTTGTTCTCCTTTAAATAATAAAACTTAAGTATTCCCAGAGACATTAGCATTCCACTCATCGTCAAAAAACTGTCGACAGCAAATGGGCCAGAAATAACGAAACTGGTATAAATCTCTCGTCTCCACTGCAAAAATAAATCTTATTATTTTTATGTAATGATATCCTTCTGACATCTCAGTTATTTTTATATGTTTAAAAATAAGCCTCATATTGTAAAATAAATTCTTTATTCGACTTCCAAATCAAAAGCCGTTGATATGAAAATTTATAAAAATATGAAATCACTTGTTTTAAATCTTTATAATAAGTAAATTTGGATTAACAATGAAACAAGCTTTTATTTAATTTAAACCCCAATCATTCCTTTAATCTCCATATTGTACGATATGAAGACATGGACATTAAAAATATCCTACATTACTAAGTTGAAAGCTTTTAAAATCTGGACCCTGCGAAGAATGTTCCACATACCATATACAGATAGGGTTAGAAACGAGGAAGTCTTAAGAAGGTTAAATACTAAAGAAGAATACACTATAGGAGCACGACATTATAAGAAGAAGAATAAGTAAATACAGAAATATGATAGCGTTGTAAGTAAGTGTATTGTTAAAAAATTAAAACAACTAATAATCTAGGATTAATCCTAATAATAACGTGCAGGTATAAGTCTGTGGTGGGAAGCTCTGAACTAAATAGTAGCTCTACATTATGCCAAGTATAGCAGGCTGGATGAAATCAAATATATTGATTGAAAATAATACACAAACGTACACACAACTATACCAACACAAAATATATAGACATGAACACCTCCACCAAGCTCAATCAGCAAATTACCTGACAGCTACACCACAGCAAGTTCATCATATGATGGCATTAGTTCTGCGACTCCTGCGCTTCACAATCTTAAGATGTAATACCCATAGTGGCTATGGGATGGATGTCACAAGAAAGTACAGTATGGGCACACTAAGTGGCAGAACTCTTGCGATTAAAATGGACACGGAAACAGAATGAAAAAAAGATGCCTCAGAAGAGAACTCAGAAATAAGTAACTCTTTTGAGTCTACAATTAAAAATAGAAATTGAACAAGTAGAGAGAAAATACCAGTTGCAGATTGCGTCTCTGCCTCAAAAATGTCGCAATGACCTTAACCAGCTGATTGCAAACAATTTAGAAGGTAATTTTGAGTATAGCGAATAACAAAAATCCATCAAGGGTCGTTGGAACTAAATCAAAACGAATATAATTTCACTTCTTTGTGAAATGATCTACTGTCCTCGATGGTTCAGCCCTGGCACTACTGGCTAGAAAATCATAAAATTTTATCTTATCTTGCTTGGCCAATCCTGAAGTATATTTTCTTCGTTACTTCCTGCTTTTAATGTCATTATGACTGCCAAATATTTGAAGGTTTTAAGTAATTTTATAGTTTCCATTTCAATTTGTAGGGTTTTTGGTTTTTTTCCTGCAACTAAGTACTCGAATTTTGTATATTCATTGCAAGCTTTCATTTGTTTTACTCATTTTCCAGTTTTCTTAGCGTATAGTCTATTCACTCTAGTCTGCAGCTAAAATAGTTTGATCGTCAGTGAATTATATCCTGCATAATCTCTTGTCTTTGATTAATGCTGTCCATTTTGCTTTGCATTTCCTGATCCACACTGAAGGCGTCTGATTCAGATATATTTTGAAGAGTGTATGTCGTATGTGCTATGTAGTAGCCTTCCTTTAGACCCACACTAATAGGAATTTCTCTAGGTAATCTGTTTCGAGTGTTCATTAACAGCGGTTTTACTGCTTTTATATTTTTTGTTTATTCCTTGTGTTTCCATTGCTGCACAAAGCATTGAAAGTGGGACAGTGTCGTATAAATCGTTTATTATTATTATATGTATATTTACATTTAAAAAACTTTGTACTTACCACATTATACATAGGAATAGCATTTGTAATTCCAGTTAGAGTATTAGTTGCTACTCGGTGTCCATGAATAACTGATAACATACAAAATACTTTAATTCCACACATACAATCTACCTGAATGTCGTCTTGGGACGATTCTTTTAATTTTAACAACTTCTTGGCATTTGAGTAGAAAGAAAATGACACCAGGAAACTATTAGATTCATGTTCTAAAACAAGTGATAAAAATTAAATTTAGGAACAGTAAACAAAAGTACATAATAGTAATTTACGTAACAAGTTCCGAAAGTGATATTTTACGAGACGAGTAGGAAGTTTCCAGGGCGAGCCGTAGGCGAGTTCTGGAATCCTGCGAGTCTCGTAAAATTACTTTTGAATCGTGTTACGTACAATATTTTTTCTGCAGCCGTTTTGAGGTTTCTGCAACCTTTATTAAACACTTAAAAGTTACTCTCATGAATTCAACATTAAAAAAATCTACTTATGAATATTAATAACACAATTATAACAATTATTTACATTGATATTGTTAGGAATATTAACAGAACTAACAGTATTGAACAGTAAGAACGCAGAGAAAAAGTGCAATACAAATTCTAGGAGAGATAAGGAGGAAAAGCTCAGTCAAGAAACAAAAAGACTTACGACAATATAACACAAAAAAGATTACAACGGTTGTCGAGAAAAATAAAAGTTTAAAGCTGCTGAAGAGATGTCAAGCTCTAGGTAAGAAGAACATTGTTAAGCTCGCAGATCGAAATGGAAAAGTGGTAACAGATAAAGATAAGATAATTAAGGTAGTTGAAGAATTTTCCACAGAATTATATAGAGAAAGGGGGAAGAAAGACGGCACCAAGTTGAGAAAAGTCCAGAATGTTGGTTCAGAGGATATCCCAGAAATAACAATCGAAGAAGTCTTAAAGTCATTAAATAGAATGAAAAACAATAAAGCAGCTGGTGATGATCAAATCGTTATTGAGGCAGTTAAAGCAGGAGGAAAGACAGTATTGAAAGCATTGACGCAATTATATAACTTATGCCTTTCAAACGAGGTTACACCATCTTAGTGGAATAAAGCTGTTATAGTAGTCATGCACAAAAAGGGAGATATAACAGAGCTAAAGAACTATAGACCTATTAGCTTGTTATCTCACGTTTATAAGTTGTTTATGAAGATAATAACTAATAGGTTGACATCAAAACTAGACTTCTATCAACCTTGCGAGCAAGTAGGATTTAGAGCTGGATACGGAACAAATGATCATTTGCAAACCAATAAGTCGTTGATTGAAAAAACCATTGAATATAATAGACCCCTGATACTTGTCTTTGTCGACTTTGAAAAAGCATTTGATACGGTCAATCAAAGTGAAATGCTCCAAGCTCTAACACAATGTAGAATAGATCACCGATATATATCTCTCATCAAATACATCTATCAACATGCTACAGCCTGTGTAAGACTTAATGAAGATACTGGGACTTTTCGTATTGAAAGAGGCGTTCGGCAAGGAGACAACATGTCTCCTAAATTATTTACAACTTTGCTAGAATACGCTTGTAAAACAATAGATTGAAACGAAAAGGGCATCAATGTAGATGGAAAATTTTTAAATAACCTTAAATTTGCAGATGATATCGTTCTTATTGCAGACAGCTTTGATCAGGCACAGATAATGCTCCAAGAACTCCATACTGCCACAAAAAGAGTTGGTCTTAAAATAAATTTTTCAAAAACACAATTTATGACAAATTTAGTCCACAACAAAAACATCTCAGTAGAAGACAAAGATATTGAGCCAGTTGACTCCTATAAATACTTAGGCCATGAGATCAGAATAAGTCGAGACAACCAAACAATCGAGCTGAAAAGAAGAGTAAACCTCGCTTGGGCTGCATTTGGAAGGATGAAGGATATTTTTAGGTCTAAGATTCCAATGTGTCTAAAAAGAAAAGTATTTAATCAATGTATTTTGCCAGTGATGACCTACGGCGCAGAAACCCTAACGCTCACAAGAACAACAGTGAGTAAACTACAAGTTGCTGAAAGAGCAACGGAGAGAATTATGTTAGGGATTTCTCTACGTGATAGAATACCCAATGCTACCATACGCAAAAGATCAGGAGTAGCAGATGTTATTGAAAGGATAACAACACTAAAGTGGAACTGGGCAGGTCATGTAGCAAGAACAGTTGATGACCGGTGGACAAAAAGAATTTTGGAATGGAGACCCCGAATACAAGCTTTCAGAAATAGAGGTCGACCCCCAACGAGATGGACAGATGACATAAAAAGAGTGACTACAAATTGGATTCAGATGGCGCAAAATCGGACTAAGTGGAAAAGCATGCGAGAGGCCTATGTTCAGCAGTGGACGTTAGAGGCTAGTTGATGATGATGATAACAGTATTGAAATTAGTGTTACACGTGTCAGTACTTTTAACATTTTTTGAGATATTGACTTGAACTGAGCGAAACAAGCGTAGTCATAATACTATTATATTATTTATCTATGGTCATAATAAAATACACAGGTGATGTTATTGTCAAAGCCGTTACCTAGCTACCCAAAATCGTCCCAAAAGTAAAAAAAAATAGTCCCGAAAGTAGCTATTTTCGGTATGAGTTGTGTAAAATGGTAATTTCGATTGAATAAATCATACCGAATGTTTTATTTTTAGGACAGCTGCAGAAAAAATATATTATTTTTAGAATTCAGAAATAGCAAAATAGGTTAATTAACAATCGAAAAGAAAAGAAAGGGACGGGTAGGAAATTTCGTATAAGAATACCTTTTTCCCATCGAGTAAAATGATAAAAGAGGAAATCTAATCGTTATGAAGAGGAGACCAAAATTCATAAAAGTGGCCTCTTAACAAAGTGGACATATCCGGAAATGCAAAGGCGCCAAATTTAAATTTTTCGACACTTATTAACAATAGCTATAAAATATTTTGCAGAATGTGTCTTAGACGAGAAAGTTTTAATTAAAGATTAACGATAATAGTCTAAAATGTGACACAACTGTTAAAAAACTTCAATATAAATAAGATTTCATGTGACAGTTGGAAGACAGTTGGTAGACAGTTGGGAAAAACAATAACATAACCCAACTAAATTTGATTTCTTAAACAAGGAAAGAAAATCTCATTCCTTGTTTAATGTGGCATCTCAAAATGGCACTTCCTGTCTAACAATATGTTTGCCCCCACTATCTTTACATTCCCTCTTCTGTCTTTTTGCTCGATTCTTGTCTCAAAATAAGTTGCCTTTCTGGACAGTTATGGACGAAAATAATTAGATTTTCTTTTTATAAGAAAAACACGACTTTGTACTGGTACCATTTGTAGTAGACTTTTAAAAAACGATAATAATCCTAATTAAGAATTTCTGTAAGAAATTGTTCAGATTAAAAAATTCTCGACAAGGCAATAAACAAAGAGTTTATATAATTTCTTTAAAGTACATATTACAGATATGAAAATAAACTATCTTCTGGATAGTACTCTGGAAAATACATAAGTACATATTACAAATATTTGATTGCGTTTATAAAAATAAGTTATATGTATCTAAACTGGAGATTCAATTAATATTACAGTACTTAAACCTTCTATTTATATACTTAGAATATACTATCACACATTTTTCAGTATATGGTAAGAATGCACTTTTTAGAATATGCCAAAGAAGTGGCATAAACCTTCTATTTATATACAGAATGTTCTGAGGTTACTACTACGTAAATGAATGTGCTCATTATATTCGGTCCGAAATTATTCTTTGAAGTACAGAGGAACCTCGATTATCCGTATCTCTATTAACCGACACCACTGTTAACCGTCAAGGTCCATACATAAGTTATATTGACTACATAAGTAAAAATTTAGTCATCAATTCATTTTGCTTTAGCATTGCGATAAGCCAAACGAAATTCGTTGAAAAGTACACGTGCAGTTATGCCACCACCGCATTTTTTATCTAAATAATTTTTGTTCTTATTCAGGGTTCTGGATCTCAATTTAAATGGATAATAACAAATGATACCGTGCTTTTAGAGTTCTATTTTTAGAATCGCAAGCCGAAAATAAAAACGCACAGCACAATAATTTCTTCTTCTTCTTCTTCAGTCTTTGGTAATCCAACTTTGGACATAGGCCTCCACGAAATCAATCCAGTGTCTTCTATTTTACGCCACTTGCTTCCAGTTGTGTCCTCCGATCTTCTTAATATCACCCGCCCATCTCATTTGTGGTATTCCTCTGCTTCTCTTTCCTAACTATGGTCTCCATTGATCTATTTCGTGGTTCCATCTCTTATCCTTCAGTCGGGCATTGTATCCTACCAAGCTCCATCTTAATTTGGTAGCATGTTCTCATGCGTCTTTTACTTTGGTTTTTTAATCTATTTGTTAGTTTTTGTGTCTATAAGTCTCACCCTGAGCATTGATCTTTCCATCGCTCTTTGTGCTTTTACTATTTTATCCATATTAGACTTGGTGAGTGTCCACGTCTGTGAACCACGTCATGTGAATATAGGGAGGATACACTGATCGTAACTGGTTTTCAAATATTCTATTTAGTGCTAATGTTCTATTTTAGTGCTTTTTAAGATCCACCTCAGTTTTTCAAATCCTGCCCACGCTAAACTTATTCTTCTGGTAATTTCGGCAGTTTGATTTTATTTGTTAACTTTCATTATCTGTCCCAGGTAGATGTATTCGATTACTGTTTCTAAATTTATGCCATTTAACGGTATTTCTCTAATGTTCGATGTATTCGTCATTATTTTTGTTTTTTCCAAGTTCATCTTAAGACCTACTTTTTCCAAAGCTTGAAACAATTGGGTCATCATGGTCTGTAGTTCTTCGAAACTTGTAGCGAATATTACAATGTCATCAGCGTATCTTAGTTTTCTTCCATTAACGTTTATTCCTTTATCTGCCCAGGTAATGTCTTTGAACAATTCTTCCAGTCTAAGTGTGAATAGCTTTGGTGAGATAACATCTCCCTGGCAAACTCCTCTGTTGGTTGGTATAGCTTTGGCTTTCGTATCTATATTTTCATTGTAGCTTTCTTGTAAATATTATATATGAGCATTCTGTATCGGAAGTCTATCCTGCAGTTGTTCATAGCTCTGTCTATTGCCCAAAGTTTCTATGGAGTCCAATGCTTTTTCGTAATCAACGAAGATAATGTATACGTTCAAGTGATATTTAATGGCTTTCTCTATTAGAGTTCTGACTGTAAGAAGATGATTCGCTGTATTGTAACCCTTTCGGAATCCTGCCTGCTCAGCCCGTCGATAGCTATCGAGCTTCGACGGGTACGTGTTAGTTATTACCCTCATAAACAGTTTGTACATTTGGAACAGCAGAGATATTGGCCTACAATTCTTCAGATCTCCCCGTCTTCCTTTTTTGAAGAGAAGTATTGTCAAACTTTCATTCCAGTCATCTGAGACTTCTCCTCTGTGAAGACATACGTTGAAAAAATTTTCAATTCTTCGAGAATAATTTCATTCCCCTCCTTCAACATTTTTACAAGCATTCCATCTGGTCCCGGAGCCTTATTGTTCTTTAGTTGTGCCATAGCTTGTTTTATTTCGAAGGATTTTATGTTAGGTAGTAGTCTGAGTTAACATTTGTTATCTTTTTCTTAAGATCTTCCTTTGCAGTGTTATCACAGTAAAATGTTTTAGTACCTTTTAGGATTTCGTTCTTTGCTCTTATTTCTTTTCCATCTTTATCCTTCAAAGAGATTATTATAGGCTTTCCTAAGTTTGCTTTTAAGCATTTCAGGTCTCGGTTCTTTTCTATTATTTTTTTCACCTTGTTTTCATTATAGATCCTTAAATCATCCTTTAGTCCCTTCTTTATTTGTTTATTCAATTATTTGAAACTATTGGTCTTTCGCTTTCCTTCGCTTAGAAATGTGCGTCTCTTTTCCATCAACCGTTTTGTTCCTTAACTTATTCGGTCTTCTTTATTTTTCGTTTTCTTTGCAACAGTCAGTTCTGCTTTCAAGAACTTTCGTTGCATTCTTTATTAACTGTGTTTATGCCGAAATATTCTTGTTGATAACGTTATGCAAATTCTTTTCTTAAGACTTTTCTTTACTCACCTCCCTTCTGTCGTAATTTAAATTGATCTATCTGATTACAATAATTATGTGGCATGTTTCTATTGGTTTTCGTCTGTTTAATAAAAATCCTTGCTATTAAAAGGCGATGATCGCTGCCAGTTGTGAATCGATTGAGAGCAGTTATATCTTTAAAAATGTCTTTGTTTTCACATAAGAAGTAATCGATCTCGTTTTTCGTCTTTTTATCTAAGAAGTTTTATAATTGTTCTCCTCTTTCATTTTGTGTGCCGTAACCATGCATCCCTATTTTGGTTTCAGTACAACAGAATAATTAATACAGTCAATATCTGTATGTCACCGTAGTTCAGTTTGATTCAAATTCGACCATTGATTGTGTCACTTAGTCGTTTGATCAATTAAGTTTTGAAAAATGGAGCCTTCCATATCTGGAGCATCAAACAAAAAACCTGTTGTTTCGTCAATTGAAAAAAAAATAGAAATTATTGCAGAACTAAAGAAAGGTATTTCTGCTATCGCATTGAGCAAAAGTATAATGTTTCGAGAACAACAATCAATAATTTAGAGAAAAATGCTGAAGGAATTGAGAGGTATGCTTTGCAAATGGAATCGTTAGATGACCGGATGAAACGTCGTAAGACAATGAAGAAAGCCACAAATGAATCACTCGACACGGTGATCCCGTGAAATTAAATGGTGATCCTTCATTTAAAGGAAGTAGCGGTTGGTTGGAAAAGTTCAAAAATCGCCACGGTATACAAGAACTGAAAATCGAAGGTGAAAAATTGAGCGCCACAAGTATTAAAGTCATTATTTGAAGACAAATATAAAAGAAAGTTTCAAGCTATGATCGATAAATATGGTTTGACAAGCGATCAAGTGTTCAATGCTGATGAAACTGATTTAAACTACAAAGCATTGCCAACGAAAATACTCGCTGCACTGTCTGAAAGATATGCACCTGGATTTAAGACACAAAAGCAACGAATCATAGCAATGATGTGTTCAAATGCAAGTGGTGACCATTGCCTACGTTTATCATTGATTGGTACAGCAAAAAAAAAACCGGGTTGTTTCAAGGGCATAAATAAGGGTTGTTAACTACTACGTACAACATAATGCATAATCTCCTAGGAAATATTCGCTGACTGATTCAAAAAGGTATGTACTGCAAACTAAAATTTCTTTATCTATTTTTCTAACGTCTTGTTCTTTAGGTTTTTATACCGGACGTTCGACAATACTTGTCGAATGTCGTTTTTGCAAGCAAAAAATTTGCCACTAAAGGAGATCCTCAATTTGGACAATACACCTGTCCATTTTGAAGCCGGTATGCTGCCAAATGACGATTTAAATATCACGTGCTCTTTTCTGCCTGCGAATACAACATCATTGATACAGCCAATGGATCAATCGGTTATTAAAACACTCAAAAGAAGATACAGAAAAAAAAATTATTCAAAACCTAGTTATGGAGGAGGAATATTATTTGCCAGAATACTCGAAAGCATACAATTTAAAATACGTAGTTCACAATGCTTTGGATTCTTGGGCTCATGTTTCGAAAGTAACGCTGAAAAGAGCGTAGAATAAATTATGGCCTGAATCAACTCAAGATGAAAATGCCCCCGTGACAGCCAAGCGTGATGCGGTAACAAATGAAGTTATGACTGAATCAACTGTCTTGTTTTCGTTGCCTAAAGATGAAATAAACGAATGGTTAATTTGTGATGAGAACACAAACGCCTATCGATTGCTGACAGATGATGAAATCGTTGAAATGGCAACAGAGGCGGACGAAACTGATTCAGAAGCTGACACAAACTTTGACGGTGGCGATGTTGACGATGTTATTGCAACTTAAAAATATTTGCCTAAAGAAGCTAGAGAAGCTGCATTGCACATACAACAATTCATCGCGTGGTATTCTCGGCAAAAAGAAGCAAATAAGGTGGATTTGGTGATTTTACGTTGATTAAGAAATTCAGCCGTTTCAAAATCCGAAGTAACAATAAAACAAACAAAGATTTTAAATCAAATTGATTCGACTGTACTAACATAAATCTCTCTTATATTGTCAAAATATACAAATAAAAGTTGAGAGTTATACTATGAAATCTTTTTTTTTTTGTAATGTTTCATTAACCGTCTTTTCGATTATCCGTCATACCCTTGGTCCTGACGGATAATCAAGGTTCCACTATGCAAATAATATGAATTCTAGAACTTTTTTATGGTACATGCTATGCTTGTGCTACCCATATACTAAAAAATATAATACCCTGACGATTGTTGGTAGTACCTATATGTTTGGAACATGGTGCGAACATCATTTTTATGTGAGAATAAGCTCAGTTTGTTGTGCCCTAATATAATTGTCCAATAAATAATAACCTGACTAACGTTTAAGGCTTTAGACAATTAAAGAAATGTCTAAGAAATTCTAATAACGATGTTGCGAATGTTAGTTATGGTAATTGTTAAACGTTGCTAGGGGAACTGTAGTTAAATGAGAAGGAACGCCACTGAATCTAAATAATCGTTGTGATAAACAAATTACTCACCTTGCCTAAATCGATCAATGTATACATCATACCAGGTACAGAATGCAAGAAGAGCAATGTAGATTATGAAAAAAGCCCTGGAAAAAAACTTAAGTTATAAATGTGTTCATACATTTACTAAAAATCGGTTATTTACTATATAATATAAAGCCATAGAAAAAATTGTAATTAAATACAATATCCCAAGATAGTGAATAGATGCGAGTTCTGGATGTGCATTGGCAAAATTCGAATAAGTAGGGAAATATTTCAGGTATTTTTAAGCTCGCGCTTGACCGGACCTGCCCGCATGAAACGGGGAAAGACGAGTGAAAATTTAATATCATTGTGCATTCGATTCATCAGCGCGCTCTTTAAGGCCGTTTTATCGGTGCACCAAAATTTTTTCTCTGTTATTTACCGACAAAATGTCTCGAAATTTGGACATGTTATTCAAAACTATGTTGCCTTTAAAATGATAGTTTTACTTTTTTTTATTTTTTTGAATTTTCTGTTGAAAAATTTGATTATACTGTTTAACATTCTATTATAACCAAACTTTTCACGCCCATCAGTTGAAAGAGTTTTTTTTCTGTAATCGTTGATTCTTTTTTCACCTTTCTGTGTCCAGTAATAATCGAGAAAAGCGTATTTAAACTTTGAAGAAAATTGCTAAAAATTACTGAAATCTAATAGTGAAACGTGTTCCTCATCATTATCGCTTAGCTTGATCGTTATTGCATTAGTGACGTCAAATCTCATGAACGTACGGTAGGGTCAGTTAGTTCGCTTGAATCAGAATCCATTTTAGTTCTTTCATTCTTGTATTTTCTTTATCAACTTGCTTAGTTTTTACAGTTTACAGTATTCTTATTTATTTTGAAAACATTAAAATTATTTAGTTTACGGGTATGTTTAAGTAATATATTATTAGTTTAGTGGTATAAGTTAAAAGTTCTTTAGTTTACGCGTATTTTTAAGTATTACATTGGGTTAGTGATATAAGTTATAAGAGACAAGATAAAAAATGAGTCCCAGTAAACGTCCTAGGTCAAGGAAAAGTTCACAAACACCCGTTGTTTGTTTTATTTTAAAAATAATATAATAGTTTATCTTCAGTAAGTTCGTATCTTTTTCCTAGAATAATTTTGTTTCTTTCTCATATTTTTAGGAACTTAAAAATCAAAAAAGCTACTATAAACAAAAGTTCTTCATCAAATAGTTCATTCCATCAAGAATTAGCAGAAACATCTACTTTATTTAGTTGTAGTGTCGATTCGTAAGTAACCATTTTTACTTTTTTTTATTTACTTACCGTAAAGTAAGTAAATAGAGGGTTCATGACTTTACATAATATTTGTTTATGGTCAAAGTATTACCAATGTTTTACTCTTAAATAATAATAATAACAAATAATATCATTTGCAGAAAGTACTTTAAATTTTATCGTTATTTCTAGTAATAGCTGTCATTCTCAGTCAGTTAAGATTGCCTCTCCGCAAAAACCATCTTTTTCGGTAGAAGGCAGAAGAATAGTGGACATAAACTTTTTCATTAAATCTATTCAAGGTTTGAATAATCATTCCCCATTTTCATGCAACTTTTCTAATATGGAGATTATCAAAGAAAAAATGGACGGATTGATAAGTACATTGACTTTTAAATGTCAAATGTGCAATATTGAAAAGGAGATAGCAACATAGGATTCTGGTAACAATTCACTGAACTTGAATGGTTCTGGTTATTCACAGCAGCAGCACGCTGCATTAAATATACCTGTGATGTCCTACAGGCAGTATGCAAAACATACGGAGACAGTTGCAGATATCATCGGCCAAATACTTTGTGATTCCATAGAAGAGGCTGGACGGGAGGAATTAGCTTTAGCCAAAGAAATTGGTGAAGTAGATTCCGACGGAAATGGGTTAATAACCGTTATAGCTGATGGTGCTTGGTGAAAAAGATCGTATAAAGTAAACTACGATGCTTCTTCAGGTGTAGTACCTGACGTTGTAAAATGTATTAAATTAGTACGCCTTTGATGGATAGGACATGTAATTAGGCGAGATAAAGACGCAACGATCAGAAAAATTTTCGACTGAAGAGGACCAGTGGGAAGACGAGCCAGAGGAAGAGGAAGACCAAAACTTAGGTATCAAGATAACATAGAGGATGATCTAAAATCCATCGGAGTTAAAACATGGAGAAAGTTGCCAGAGGAAGGGGCGAATGGAAGATTGTTCTGAAGAAGGCTTTGGCTCATGACGAGCTGTAATGCCACTGATGATGATGAAATAACTATCCACGATTTGTGTTTTATTCATAAATTGGATACTTTTCTTATGTAACTACAATCTATAAATATATTAAAATAATGTATATTTTATTCAGAGAACTTTTTTCTCACAGTGGGTCGCCTCGAAATACTTGCCAGATAAATACATTTACTATTATGATGGTTTCACAGGTACCAATTTTTTATAGATAAATAAAAATAAATAACTTCTTGAAATAATTTTCAAGCTATAACTGCGAAATTGTTTATTTGTTTGTGACATTAAATTGTAATTTTTTTGATAATAATATTCTTTTTATATTTTAAATTTATTATAAATTAAATTATAAATATAATTATAAATATATAATTATAAACACCATGGTGTTTTTTGCAGTCACGTTTCACAAATTTTTATTCAATACTATGTTTAGCTAAGACATATTATAAATTAAAAATGTGATTAATTCTTTTTAAAACATTATCTACGATAATCAATCAAAAAAAAGTGTTCCGGCAAAACTAATTTGAATGGAGAATAATGTATTTAATGTCAATAAACAACCCGTGGGCCGGCGCCACTGAATAAACATCTAAACTGCAGATTTCAAATTAGGAAGTCACGTAGGGTCTGACATAAACAATGTAAAAAAGTAAGTGATACGCCCACTTCAAATCGCAGTATGCTTAACTGCGAAAACAGCCTTAGAAACGGAACACCTTGAAATTCACCGAAAACTCGCCAGTTGTCAGCTGCGTGTACATAAAAAATTTTCGCGTATGTAGTTTCCTCAATAGAGTAAAGGCTGATTTATAAACTTTACGTTGGCGTTGGCGCTGGCGTTCGCCGTTGACCTTGGCGCTGGCTATCATACACTGCATTTATAAACTTTCGGTTGTCGTTGGCGTTAAAGATCACATCTTAATTTCTTATCTTACATTTTTAATTTGGCATTATTTTTGCTTGAAAATTAATACAATGGAAAATGAAAATTCTCGGCATTTGTTAGGTGCAGGGGCACTAATGCTTTGTGTTCGAGCAGCACTGAGCTTTCGAAATAAAAGACAACGTCGATACAAACGGAGGCCCATTAACCAGAAAAGAAAGACAAGAGGTAATTTTAATTATTATAAAAATATGAATAACTGGGATACCCAGCAGTTTTTTAAATATACCAGGATACAGGTTCCAGGATTTGAAAAATTACTGCAAATGGTAAAACCAAAACTATCGCTTTGATGGAATTTCTGTTGAAGAGAGGCTTGTTATTATCTAAACTTCTCCACTTTGTAGCACGTTGTAGCATTTTCAATTTCATTGATTCTTTGAAGTATATTGAAATCCCCTCGTACATGATATATATTGAAATCTCCTTATATATGCTTAAAAAATAAAACAAAGAATTTTTTCCGTGTTTGTTAGTTCGTATCTTTCAAGTTAAAATACGCAAAAGTGTTTTCAATAATTGTTTTTGCATTGCTAGATGTTAAAATAAACCATTTTAGAGTTTTTTATTATTTTAACTTTTTCGGCAATTTCTTTTAATGTTTTATTCAAAGTCGCATTATAATTTTTATACTTACGTTGTAGAAGTGAAATCTTTTACGTTTTAATTTTGTTGTGTTTTGTTATGTCAGCTTTTGTTTTGTTTTCAATTTATATGAACGAGTTCATAAATTCGTCATTCTTACTTGGGTCGAGGTAGGCTCAGGTCACCGACTCAGTATGGATCCAAATTCACCTTCGAATTCGTAGTTTCCGTTTTTGGCCCCGATTAATGACCCCTTTATTTCATTTTTTGTAGTTGCCCCATTCCAACTCCCTTATCTTTTACTTATCCACGACCCCAGCTCTCCTACGAAACCCTAAGTGTCGTTCGCACAAGTAGCGATTATTTTATTTGCCTTATCTCCACCCCTTTAGTTTCAGTCCCCAATTTTCTGCCCCTTGTTGGTACTCCGTGTGGTAGGCAAAATACTTTCATTACAATGTGGAAACACAAATATAAACAAATAATTTAGTTTAATTTGTTTGACAAACCTTGTCACTTTTTCGGTATAGTTATTGGCTGCGATGACAAAGATACAGTTTTTTTTTATGTTCTGAGATCGTGACTACAACCACAGAAGAGTTTGTGTATTCTGTGCTATAATGGCCAACGGCAAAAGATAAAGTTGGTTCATCTTGAACGAAACCGAACGCCGACGCCAACGGCGAACGATGTTTATAAATAGACATTAGAGTTTCCCATTTGACCATGTTTTTAGTTCGTGGATAAGTCACCTTAAGATAACAGGAATATAGCGGAGATGCGCTGTCCTGAGTTTTTGCATTCGGTTAGGAAACCATGTTGGGGTTCTATCACCCAGGGCCTCCACATGAAGAGCATTTGGCTGATTGTTGTGCCTCTATAGCGCATCAGAGTGCTATAGGGGGGAAAGGGATGGTCTAGAGCATTGTAGCACGGTGGGGTGACTCCTGTTTATATACGAGTTAACACACCTTGCTACAATGAATTGTTATACCCGATCGTAATTCTTAGGGGTGAACATTTCTCATAGGCTGGGTTTAATTAAATTGCTTGCTTGCTTGCATTTGAACATGTTGTAACGCTAACGTCAGCGCCAGCGCTAACGCCAACGTAAAGTTTATAAATCAGCCTTGCGTTATATTTTGTTTTGTAAGCTTCATTTTTACAATATATAGGAGTTCTTGATATTTATTTTAAAGTATTGATAAAATTTGTCTTGATCATCAATTAAATCAGAAAATAAACTATTCTTGTTCCGCTTTTTTCAAATTTTATGAATCTATTTATTACG